CTCAAAGTGGGTTCCTCGTCATCGAATTGGAAGTTTGATATAGTTTCACTTGAAGAAAATCAAGTCATTGGCACATCATATACAAAATATTTAAATTTATTCATCAAAGTAACAATGAACCCCTTATTTAGTAAAAGTCAATTAATTAAATATTTCATAAGTGAACGCCACAGTGTGGGATAATAGTATGTTACTCATTAACATCGTTTTGGGATACTGATAGGCCAGAAATTGATAAGAGTAACTAACAAATTTAACTGATGAATTTTAATTTGTGGCAGTGAAGTTGTATAAAGAATAAGGTAGGCCTAGAAAAATAGAAAATAATAAAAAATTGAACTGTAGCCACTTTATTCATGCACAAAGAAATAAATGGTCGTTTAAGGTATCATTGATGGTTAACAAATAACCAACAATAAACACAAATCTAAGCCTTTATTTTTATGATCCCCTGACACAATAACAGTGACAGTGAATGAATAAGGTAGGCTTAGTCAAAACGCTGTATTATGTTCTTTACTACTAGTACTAGTAATACTACTGGCTGCTTTATTCACTAGTTAGATAATTTAATTTTGAGCACATTGTAATGTTTATTTAATTCAAATGTTTCTGGAAGTGTAAAATAAGTTTAAGTGGGGAACTAGTTTTGCAGATTATTCAATATTATTATTAATAATGGAAATTTTAATGACGATGTTATCAAAAAATAAGATGTATAATTTATAAATATAAATCATATAGAAGATGGTAGTAGTAGTATTAGTAATAATTACTACAACTTACAAGTACTAGTAGTAGTTTAATACTAGTAAGAATGTTTAAATTTTTAGAAAACATACTCTAACTTTATTATATAAAATTTTCTTTAAGAATCTAAATAAATACGACCTGGCATGGCGGGTTCGATTCCCCATCCCACCAAACATGCTTGCCCTTTCAGCCGTATGGGCATTATAATGTGATTGGTAAAAGAGTAGCCCAAGAGTTGGCGGTGGGTGATGATGACTAGCTGCCTTCTCTCTAGTCTTGCACTGCTAAATTAGGGATGGCTAATGCAGATTGCCCTCGTGTAGCTTTGCGCAAAATTCAAAAACAAACCAACAAACAAAACATCTAAATAAATAATTGAATAAAAATAATCCAATATCTTATAACTGTACCAGATGTTAGTTTTACTTAGTAAAAATATTACAATTATAAATACTGTTTTACAAAAAAGTCAGAATATGATATCATGGAATAATAATAAAGTATAGAAGCATTTACAAATTAAACTGATGAAAAAGAACATTAAAAATGTTGAAGTGAAATCTATTATTAAAAATTTGTCTCTTAATTAAATAAAAAATATTAATGCCAGGCTTAGTTCTATTCAGCAATATAACAATTTAACAAATTTAAGAGTTATAATACTTTTCTGTCTCCAGACTTATTGTAGTAGCCCACCTATGAACTTTTTCTTTTTTTCAATAAGTCAATATCCATTTGTAGATAAGGGGAACAAAACTGTACACAATATTCTAGGTGAGGCCTAAGTAGTGATATGAATAATTTCTTCATTGTGAATTGTATTCATTATGTTTATAAATATATCCAAAAATTTATTTAAGTTTTAATTACTATTAGCAACAGGGCAGTGCTTTGATTTCTCAAGACTGATTGAGTGACTTATTTATCATTATGTCAATATTCTTTTTTTCAGTCATGCTATTGAGTGAGTTCCCATGTGTTTTAAACATTTTATATAAATTTGATACTTCAGATGCCTTTCCTTGCATTTACAAGTTAAAAGTCACTTATCAGCTATTTGCCCATCTTGCCAACTATTGAAAACAAGTCATGCCACAGTACATGAATGTCCTCAGTACAGCTACAAATGGCAAAGAGTTTAATGTCATAAGCAAAGTTATTAACTATGCCCCTGTTAATGTCATATATGTAAGCAATGAAACACAAAGATCCAAGCTATGACTCCTGAGACACACCATTAATTTTTACTTTTGGGAAGAAATGGTATAATTTTCCTATTTTGCATTTTTAATGGAACAAATTGCAATAGATCCATTATTATTAATATAACATTTCATGGTGCCATTTTATCATCTGGGGTTCAAATATGATGATGTAGCATTGTAGGATCTTAAACCTTTTTGTTTTAAGAATATTACTTGTCTAGTGAATAGGGTATGGACTTGGTATATTTAGGTTTTGAAAAATCTTTTGAGAAAAGGCCACTCAGAAGATAAGAAAAGAAAATTGCATCAGTAATGTGGTTTAGGAAAGACTAGTTAATGGGATTGTAGGCTGTTTGGATGAGAAAAAGCAAAAAATTGTTTTTAATGGAGTCCAGTCAAATTGGACCCATGTTACTAATTTTAATAGTGGAGTGACTCAGGTGCTTGGGCCTTTGCATTTTTTAAATTAGTGAATCAGTTATGTTTGCTGATGATATTAAACTTGGGAATCTTAAGTATTCAGAATGTTAAGGCATTATAAAATTACATGGTTTAAATAACTGCTAAATGACTTAATTATAGTAAATGCAAGGTAATTCATTTGGGTTATTGTAATTCTGATCACTTGTTTAAAATAGATAGGAACCTATTCAATGCTATGAATGATGAAAAGATATAGTGGTGGATAAATCACTCAACATCAAAACAGTGCTCTATCACTAGTAATAAAACTAATATAATTTTAGGGTGATTGATAGATTTATTGATTACATATCATTAGTTAGGCTTCAGTTGGAATACGTGTACTGTCTAGGTATTCTTATTTATGAAATAATATTGGCTTGTTGGAAGGTGTCCAGAGGCTGAATTTTTCTGGGGATGAAAGGATTATCTTGTGGGAATAGGTTAACTTTCTTTATTTAATCTTGAGAAAGAAGGATAAGAGGTAATCATTATTGAGGTTTACAAGATTATCTGGGAATTGAGGGGTAAAAGCCTGATTTAGTTCTATTATATTATCAAGATAATAAGATGAGAGGACATAAGTTTAAAATTTGGAAAATATGGACTGGGCTCTAATCAAGACACTTTTATTTTTCTAGCAACTAGAATGTTTTACGGAATGAATTGCGATTAGCAATATTGGAGGTAGCACTTTCTTGAAAAGTAATGAGTAGGTTGAAATTTTTATTTTTCTCAAGGTCAAGAAAGAGTGCATAAGGATAGTCATAAAGAACCTCTGTTTCACGCACTGTCCTTCAGACTCGCTTCAGCCCTGTATGTTTTGTCGAGCATTCCGAGTATTTGTTCTTCACTTATATGCTCTCGGGTTGAACTTTCCTCTTTCTTTGGTCGACTGGCTACTGTTCACTAGTTCTGAACAGTAGTCCTCCTGTTACTCTTATCAGCTGCTCCTGGAAGCAACTATAATGGGCTGTTAATCAAGTTGGAGAAGTCCTTACTGCAACCTATCCAATATCTTGTCCATTTGGATGTTTTTCCACAACCATCTCAGTCGGGTTCGTCCTTTTCGTCTTTTGGAAACATGGATGCATATGAGATCTACAAACCTCCTGTTTTTGTTGGCTCAGATTTTTCTGCTTTGCCAGAAATTCTTGAGATGCTACATAAGTCTAACCCTTTAGATGCTTACTTTTTTCAGTCATATCACACTCGAAATCATCATCAGATAATTCAGGTTCAGAGCCAGAATCATCGTGAGCTTGCACAACTTTAGTTACTTCTTCAAGTGCAAAAACAGTAGAGCAAGTTGATGCCATTTTGGGTCCATTTTTTCATACAAATTAGGGAATTTTCAGCAGCAAATATTATTGATGTTTTGAATAGCAACATATGCCATGTAGGATATGAATCAATGGCTGAGATCATTATCTGTGCAGATTAGCCTTTGTCTGCTGGTTTTTATGGTCATTTTGCATTTCTAGTCAGAAATTCAAACTGCATTATATGGTCACCATATCGAATATGCCACAACAGTTAATAAATATTACTCTTTACAACTGCTGATATTTGTGTTTAGCATCATTGTATAGTTATTTAAGTAAATAATTTTAGCCAGTGTTTTCTCTATTATTTCTGTGCTAGAACAAAAGGAAAGTTGACATTTTTATATTTTTATGGTACATGTTTCATAAATCTAACATTTTTATTAGGTAACATCCTTTATGTATGTAAATATACTTGTATTAAATTTTATTCTACCTGTATTGATTATAATATTGTCTGCTTTCACAGGGAGGACATTTTTGCTGTCTTGTATGAAAAAAAAATGTGGATGACTCTTTACATGTTCTTCAGACAGATTTATTTAGCAATAAATTTGCAATGTGTATCTGTGCACAAAACAAAGAGGTAGAGATGTAACTAAAAGTCTGAATTGTTAAATATCCAAGTAATAATGGAAGTGCCATTGTTAAGTGACTATAAAAGTGGGTTTATAGTGAGAAGAGTAATCCAGACAGTTTTAGGTGGTCCAAGACTTTTTTTGACATTTAAAGCTCCCATACATACATATTGTATCCAGATATTTCTTTATTTTTTACCATGGATTCTTGGTGGAATTTTTACCGTGTTGGTGGACCATGAAGTGTTATCATCTCAAGTAGCTATGTACATATGTGGTTCTCTTATGTTTGTTACTGTTTTTGCCATACAAACAACAAATGCTTGCATGCAACACAAGCTCTCTTCAGTTTCAAATGTTGACAAGAAGAATTACTTAAAAGAAGATGATGAGATTGAATTCACTTCATTCTTTGGACTTGAAACGTATCAGTTTTTGTTTCCATCAAAGAGACACATGTTGACTATTTTAGTTCATGCAGTAGTATCAGCTTTTATGTGTGCTGTAGCTGTTGATTACCTGAGGTTGTTGGAGATGAGCGACTGGTGGAAAAGTCGATCAGTAGCAGTAATACTCTTTATATTTGGCTGGATGTCTGTGTGTAATGCCCAGTATTCCTTGACTGCCAATGGACCATTTGAAACTGCCATATTCAGTACAAATAACAATCAAATACTGGGACCACTCTTTCGACCATTTTATGTTTGCATATTTCTTGTGGTGCATGTTATAACATGGTATGTCTGGTAAAGGGATAATTTGAAATTTTTTTCAACTTTCAAATATTTATGATTATTATAATATGTTAGTATTTAGTTATTTTAAGCAAATAATTAAACATCTAAATTTGGAAGTGTAAATTATCCTCATACTAATTTTGAAAATTTCAATTATATTATGTATTCGGCTTTAGTTGTGTAAATGGAGGTTGTGGATAGTGTTTTAATGCATATTTTATCCAAAGACAAATAATATAATAGAAAAAAACAAATTGTGAGTTAATTTCAAAATTGTCCAGCAATTACATTAGCAGCTGATATTTAAAATTATGAAAAACTTATCTCAGGTAAGCCAAAAACTCATATTAAAACTAAAAGAAATACCAGATATACTGTAGTGCAATGTGTTTGACATTGGTAACTAGTAGTATATATAAAACAGTTACATTAGAGTTTAAAATTTTTATGAATTGTGGTCAAAATATTAATTTTTGATGTACACCAATTAGAATATTTAAAAACTTCATGTGTTGTTTGATTACTTGGGATCTCTCACTTTTGATACCATTTATCTGAACTAAGTGTATGATATATGAAAGGTAAATCTTTCACAGTAGTGTAGGCAGTTATGCAGTACCTTATTAGTAGGAGAAATTACATTGAAGGATGGTATTGAGCTTTTTTGTTGTTAATGGTGGAGAACAATTCATTATTAATCAAAATATATTTATTTAAAATAATAACTTGAAGTTTGAAAAACCTATACATAAAAATTTATTGTAGAAATTGTAGTATTATTCATCATTTTTTAACTTTTATCACTTAAATGTGTTAATTAGCATTAAGAAAAATTGTGTAATATATATACAGAATACGAAGAAAATGCTCTTACATTATGAGTTATTTATTTTTGTATTTCTACATATAGTCTTTAATTTTTATTATTAGTTTTTTAAAATTATTTTAGGGAAAACAAAAGATGGAAAGATACAGATGCTTATTTAAAATGTGTATTACCTTTCTTACCATTGATGTGGACTTTTGGTGTGTTACCTCCACTTGATGGATTAATAATGTGGATGGGAGAACAACTGCTCACACAAGGATGTGGAGGTTCACATATGGCTTCAATGAGAGAGTAAGTGTACACATGCAGATCAACAGAGTAACCCTTAGCATGAACAAAACCCTACATGTCTGCCATAAAGAAAAAAATGTGTTGATTATATTTAAGAATTGTATGAAATTTTATAAATGATGATTTTTTTTAATTATATGCTCATTCATGTTTTAAATAAAAAACTTACTTGTATTTACATAACATTATAATGTAAAACTTAAGGACAAAAACTGACCTGTTGATTAATCTAGGCTGTCCTAACAACTAAGTTAAATTTATAAAAAATAACAACTGAAAAAACAATTCTAAGCCAACCCATAATATTCAGATATTTATAAACCCTTTCCTTAAACCTCCTTAAACATAATACATCCACCACATCTGAAGGCACACATTCCAAAGGTGAACCACCCTTTTAGAAAAATAAAACAGTTTTAGCTGAAGATGACTCCTACCATGCCAAAATTTATATTTATGTTCTCTTGTTCTACCATTCCCACCATTAATATGGTGAATCAACACTGGTTATTTCATGACTCAGGTGGTTTTGTCAAATGTCTGTTTTAGTAGTAGTTATAAAGTGTGCAATTCATCATCCAGTTCCACTGTTTAAGTGCAAAAAAAGCATGCATGTTAGACTTGCAGGGTAAAGAAAATCCGCTCAAAATGACCCATTTATAATTCTTTGTATTATTATTATTATTCTCTTACCAGCCTACAACAAAAATATTGCACTCAAACCTTCTGTAGAATACTAAATAAGATACAGTAAAGACTGTAGGGGTATTGAAAAAATTGAATTGTTTCTTTTATATTTTACATAAGCTAAAAAACATCATAATTATAGTGTAAACAATATTATCATTACCCCTT